TATTCCCAAAACACGAGGTTCCCTGGGTTTGAACATTTTGCGCCACAGAGCTTCAGTGAAAAAATTTTAAAAAAAAACTAGACATATCCATGCAAAGAACAAGGCAGGCTTCTTGCCAGGGTCCCAGGCCTCCAAACTTGGCCCCCTACAATCTCAAAGGGCTTAAGGTTAGCGTCTGAAAAAGATTAACCAAGTGGTAGTCCATACCATTTTGCGCGGTTTGGTCGATCCACCAGGCTGATATTCCTATTATTGAGCCGCATTATTATAGAGCATTGTCATGCGAAATCATGCGCCTCACACTTAAGTCACGCGAAGTCACGCGAAGTCACGCGGAGTCACGCGAAGTCACGCGAAGTCACGCGGAGTCACGCCAGAGTCCGTGAATGTAGTCAATATTTGGCTACATTCGTAGATCCGTAGTCAAATATTGACTACATTCACAGACACAGTCACGCGCAGTCACGCGCAGTCACGTTCAGTCACCCGTTGATGTCAAAGCCAACGTATCCCCAACCGGGAAACTAATATTTGATGAGGCCTTAATTGCAATGCTTGCATGCTACTGATTTTGTGGAATCCTGTTGAACAAGGCTGAAAACATCTTGCGCAGCATGTGAACGACGAGACCTCAATTTAGCGAAATTAGACTTGTATCAACGCCACTGGGTGCTGACAAAATGAAAAAACATATTTTGATGTAACTTTCTTCGCATTCAAGTGAATAGAGCAACCAGCGTTATGGAATTTGCAATGTTGGGGCTTTATTAGTGCACAATGCGGGTTGCACCTCAACAGTGGAAATTCTTGAAAATTGATTCTACGTCCAAACTGGTTCAACGGGGTGGACTGATATTATTTTGAAAGGATTGCTTTTCTTGAGAAAAACAACAAATTAATTCAGCCTCTTCTAGCGCAACCAAGCAGCAGCCAATATCAACAGCAACAGCCACAAAGACCCCATAATTTCCTCCCATTTCTGCGTCCGCAAAATTCTATACAGACAAAAAAATGTGAACGCAAGCTCAAAGAAGTGAACCAGTGCCAGGCTTCAACAAGGCGTCAACAAGTATCCACTCCGGTTTTAGGGGTTCTTTGCAGATCATTGTATATTGACAAAGCCAACTCAATCGGAACCATTTCTTCCAGGAGAGGTAGCCAACGAGGCGGGAAGTGAGAAGCAATGGACATGTTTCTGAGGAATTTTCGTCCTGGTTCTTCATCTACAAGAAACACATCTAAAAGAACGCAAATTCTAGCTAGAAAAAGGGTTTCCAACAGGATGCATTGCTGCTCTAGGGGCGCTATACAACACCAATCCCAATCAATGCTGTCAAGTAGGAAACCTATAAAACAGGTGGGATTTCAAACAGGAACATGTTTCTAGGGCACTTAACAGAGTAGGCCTCCTAGATCTCTCACGATAAAGAAAGAGACAGGTTCTGTTCTACCGCGCCCCACAAAGGGTGTCTAAAAGGATCAACTTCTTTGCTTTGGCCTGTGCAAAAAAACAAAAAAACAAATTACTTTAAAAACTAGTAACCCAGGAGGCAGCCAGCGTAATTATTGAATCAAGTAGAGCATTTTCTGTGGATTTCCCCTGCTGATTCCCAAATAATGTTCAACTTAGCTGAAAATGGAAGACGGACTGCAACTGAAGACTCAGAAACAATGATTCCAACACAAGACTTCAATAAACAAAAATCGTGATTTAAGAATATTTAAGATTTTGGATGAATTGATGACCATTAGCTAAGGCAGCTAAGGCAATTGCCAAGACTTACCCCAGGAATCAATAAAATATTGGAATCAAACGAAACCGATTTTGAGCGCTTATTATGACCTTGACTCTTCTACAATGGTTTCACCCCCCAAAAAAAAATAACATGGTTCGAATGGTTGCCACGTTCCCTGATGACTCTGACACAAAAGAATCAGAACAACGAACATGAACTAAAATATACTTACGAAAACTCATCCCCCACGATTCCACCAACCAAAAACGATGTAAGTCAACATATATTTTGCAAATAAGTCCCAAGACTCACTCCCCGTGATTCCAATAGAAACCACGAAACACCTTCCTTCCTGGCAAGTTGTTTCTTAAACAGGGACCCCAAATATCCCCAAATAGCATAAGTGTTTGACGCGGCGTTCCACAAGCCAGCATCTTGTTGGCAATGCTTCACAAGCAAATTTAAGACTTAAAACATGAATAATCATCTGGGTTGGCAGCAACATCTGGTACACTCCACTGGATTTGCAACATGTTCGCTAAATTTCGTTGTCGATTATAAAATAAATCAATAGATTCCCATGGAATTCCATAGATTTTGGTGGATTTTGAAAAATTCCGTGAGTTTTCAAGAGATTCCGTGACTTTTCGTGAAAGTGGTGCGCCTGCCACGAAAAAAGACGATGCACACGTCCAAAGTGCTGCGCCTGCCACGAAAACTGCCAGGCATCTTCTGAAAACGTCGCAAAAGCATTGCGCCTGCCACACAAAACGATTTTCGACACGTTACAAAACACCTCTGAATGTCACGAAGTGCCACGCCTGCCACGCGAAACGAAGCAACGAGACGTTTGAAACCTCCAAAAATGACCACCTCTGCAGAACTTACCATAGGCACGGCCATATGGCAATCGCGCGGACGGTTGCGGACGGTTGCGGACGGTTGCGACCGTGAACGCAGCGTCGAGCGAACGCACCCTCAACCCCCAGACCCCCAGAGTGAAACGGGAACGCTTGCTACGCATTCCGGAAAAAGTGGAATTCGACATGTTGGTTTTGTTCCCCCCCGCCCTCCCCCTCTATAGGGGTAGGGAATTTGCCAGAGAGAAATAGAAGAACTGGAGAAGTCTGATTTTGCAGGGGTTCACATACAATTTGATCCGCTGGAAGTTAGCTGAACTCCTGTGTGCCAACTCCTGTGTAACAATTTCTGTGCAAATGACCTTGCAGGCAGGAGTCTTGTAGGAGTTCAAGTAGAAGTGGATCACCTGCAAGTCAACTCCTGTGTAAATGACATTTTTCAAGTTTTGTAGGAGTTCCCTAGAAGTTGATCACCTGTAGCTGATGTAGGTGATGTTGTCTATGGTGTAGTGTAGATGATGAGGATGATGTTGTAAGTGATGTAAGGTTAGATAGGCTTGAAGATGTAGGTGATGTAGAGGATGCAGTGATATAGATGATGGTGTAGGTCATGTATGCGTTGTAGATGATGTATGTCATGTAGATGAGGCTGATGGAAAAAGATTGTGTAGGTGATGTAGATTGTGTAGGTGATATAGATGATGATGATGATGATGATGGTGGTGGTGGTGGTGATGATGATGATGATCATGATGATGATGATGATGGTGCAGATGAAGATCCAGAGAAGATGGTGTAGAAGATGGTATAGAAGATGTAAAGGACATAAGAGATGTGGAAGATGTATGTTAGGTAGATGAAGCGAAGAGTGAGTCGGGCAGCAGTTCTTTGGGAAGAAAACCCTTCGCACAAGCTTCCGGCATACTGGCCACAGTATTGCAAACGCTTTTGGGAAAGCGTTTTTTCATAAAGTGTTTGTGCTGTGATTACACCTTGCACGCCCGACTTCTAGAGTAAAAAGGGCGGGGCAATAAACATACTTCACTCATTGCGTGTTTGGCAACTGTTTTTGTTTCTCGCTGTTGGGGATACTCTTTGGGCTTATCCTTTTTTTGTTGTTAAAAAACAGCCCGCACAAGGAAAACTGCAGTACTTTAAGCAGCAGAACGGCAGCTTTCAGCGCATTGAGAAGACGCCTTTTGCTGACTTGTCCATTAAAGGTACCATTGGTTGGGTTGGTATCATCCCTCGCTTCGTAGACTGGGATGGCGATGGTGACATAGACTTGGTGATCACAGGAACAGACAAGGTGCAATTCTTCCAGCGTGGCGTTTGCAAGCCCTCCGCCTCGTACTGCAAATCTGGGGTCTGCAACCAGCGGACTTCGAATTGCACATGTGATGCTGGCGCAGAAGGACAAGACTGCAGCCTCTGCGGCAACTTTTATGTCCGTGAGAAGGACCAATGTAGCCCGTGTCCTGGCCACAATGAACTGGCAGGTACTTGCAGCCGGAGAGGCGAGGGAGGGTTGAGGACGTAACTGTGTGATTTGCGATGATTGCATGCGTACTGTTGCGGTGTTTTTTGTTTGGACCAGTACTGAATCTTTTGCCAACGTTGGCATGTAACAATAATTCTATAACAAAATTGAAGAGCGGAATGGGACTGAATTGTGGCGAGAAGCCCTGAAACCAATTAGGCTCCTCAAAGTGGTTCTATTCACTAGTGGCATTTTTTCCAAGAGCTGATTCTTTCAGGAGCACGAATCCCAAAAAACTCTACTCCTTTACTCGTGCTATTTGTATGTTTACAGCGCTCCCAGAATGCTAAGGTTTGCAAACGGATCAATCAACTCCTTTCCTACACTCCCCATAAACCAGCCAGATACTAAATAGTGCCATTGTTGGGATGGTACTGATAGTGTCAAGGACCTCCCTGAGAATTTTGTGTGAAACCCAAAAGCCGCCACTCCCCAACTACTGTTTTTTTTTAATCTTACCTTGCATTGATTCCAAAGAATGCCAGGGTTTCCAAAGAAGAATAAGAAGCACAAGAAGGAAAGGAAAAAGTTATGTTAAAGAAAGACAGATATGATCCGACGTTTTACACAGCAGTCTACTACTCGAAGTTCCCGTCCTCCCTCTCATCACCCAACAACGGGAAAATGAACTGAACGCAGATTCGTGACACTTTTTCCACGCAGTGTTCCGTAGAAAGTTGGGTGTATATAGCCCACCTCGTATTTGAAGAAGGGGGGCATACTATATATAATCAATGGCCATCAGTAGCCAACGATGCTTTTGATATTTCATTGTGCGTGTGTACATGTACAGTACCTCTTGGTGTTTGCTTGTTTGGCCAGGTGTTTGTGAAGATGATGCAGATGCAAGAAACAAAAGGCTTGCGAAGAATCTGACCGGCTTCGAAGTGACTTCTGCTAGAGGAACTGGCCAATGCACATGTTCGAGGCCATTTTTTGGGCACGGCTGCGAAGAGGGGCGGTGTCCTCCAGGAGAGCGTTTGGACAAACATGCTAAAGTGGACATGGCCACCGAGAAGTATTCTCAGTGGGAAGTTTGTGCGCCTTGCGAATCTGGCAAATTCAAACATTTCTCAGGCAACGAGGAATGTTCTTTTTGCCCAGATGGCCATGTGCCACTGAACCGCACCAGCTGTGTTCCTTGTGCTTCTGGCACTGTCTCATCTCGAGACCACCCTGAGACATGTACACCTTGTCCTGAAGGCTCTGTCCCAAACAGACAGACGAATACTTGTGAGGAGTGCACGGGTCCAACCTACGCATTTGAAGGAGATGAGTCTTGCAGGAGGTGTTTCTTTCCAGCTTTGATCTTGACGGGCGACGAGAATTTGTGTACCCCAGTCTATACGGTGCTCTTTCTGTTTGCATCTATCCTCTTGGCAGTCTTTGTCTTGGCGATCGTCGGAAGGTTGCGCGTTGAATGTCTCAAAAGGCGACTCAAGAAACTAGTTGCCGCAAGGAATTGGAAGGATTTGCATACCACACAGGCCAGACCACTGGAATATGGCCTTTGGCAGCGTAGGGCCTGCAAGCTGCTTGCGCTTCGCAAGGCTGAGGTGAAGTCGCGATCTTTGCAGCTGGGTGTCTCTCTCGACTACGTCTTCGGCAAGCTGGAGAATATCTACAAGGAGAAGGCACAGCAGGCCGAATGGCGAGTCGATGTATGGGGCCCAACGACACGGAGCGGTTTCTTCGTGAGGGTTCGCAGCAGTGGAGATGCAGTTGATCCCGAGTCTGCTTGGCCTACGCTGTCTATTTGTGATCACCCAGAAGACCCAAATTTTCATCAGGTAGCCGCGCTGTTGGCTTACGGACCATGGGCTTTGGGCAAGGGTCTGTGCTGCCCACGTGATGGGTTGGCAGATTGCAGCCTTGTCGACGCACTGGAAACGGAATGCAACAGCGCAAAGGCGACTTGGTTCCTGTCGTGGGTCTGGAACTACAAATTCACTACTGTGCTGAAGGCCCGGTTCTTTCTGGCTGGATCTCACACTGTTCGTGCTTTTACCCCAAAATGCTTGATTAAGCTTTGGGTTCTTGGCAAGTTCTGGAGGTTGGTGCCATTGAAACTTTGGAGGACCGCTGGGTTTCTTTGGTCGCCCCAGGCCAGAAACAACGAACTCTAGTTATACCATGTTATACCATATACCCGGATCAACCACTCAGGTGTAGTGACTAGATCAAATAACATTTGCAATGTGGGAATTGATTTGGGTACTGGGCAAGGTGTAAATGTCGCCAGCAACTGATCTCTACAATCCAGAAATTAATTTGGTTGCTGGGCCAGTTTTGGGGCCGATTCAATGCAATTTCAGAGCTGTTTCAGTGGACTGGTTTTGCTTTCTAAAGTATAAAAAGTAGATGTTCAGATGCGATGTTTCAATACAATACCTCTGTTCCTAGCCTTCAAAATTTGAACTTCAAAATGCCACCAAACTTTGAAGGACTTGACCCAACAATGTCGGGTTGATGCTGAGAAGGCTGGATTGACGTCCAGGGTCTGAAAGCGCTTGTGGGTTCCACAAATTGATCTTATACGACGCCGTACGATACTGTAGTAACCACAAGACAGACATCATCATGGCATGGCACATCATCTATAATATTCCGGGCATCTTTTGTCAATCCTTGTCCAGGTACACTGGAAGATCTCCTCTTCACCAATTATCCATTCTTCAGGAACTATTCTTCAGGTACTATCCGTCTATATTATTCGGGAACTACGGTTCAGGAACTGACGATCCCCGGTTCAGGAATTCTTGAGGAACTATTCTCCAGAAACTATTTTGTACTGTATGAACCAGGAACTAACCCCGCCCTAAAATACAGTCCACTTTGTTTGAGGTTTTTTTGTGTTTTTTTCCCCGAGCTGTGTCCAAAAACGAAATTCTGCCGAGTGCACATTTGATTGGGAAGGGTGACGTTCACATTGTATCATGTCATATGTCATCACATAGTTCCCGCGAAAATCCCCAAGACATCCCAAGACATGTTTTAGTTCCCGAAAGGTTTTTGTAGTTCCTTAAGAACCTGTTTCAGTTCCCGAAGAAAACGGCCACCAGATGACTACACTCCCACAAGGTTTCAAAGAAAAACGTTGACGCGCAGGCGAAAGCTTCAGTCCAAGCAGATGCAGATGCCATTAAAGAACGTATCCAAAAAGAACACCAATCCTTCGAGTATGTGAACAAGACAGTGGAGCAAGCCCTTTGGTGTGAAGTCACCAAATTCCTGGAGCAGTCTCAACAAGAACCCGAAGAGATCGAGCTGTCAACACAAACGCCTCAAGACTCGGACCTGTCGACCAGCTCAGCTCCTGTTTCAGCCATGCTTTCTGCCGACTCGCAGTGCAGTCTCCAATGATTTACAGGCAGACAGCCAAGAAAACGGCATTGGCAGACCATGATGGGTGAAACCTCAAGATCCGACAAGGCTCAAGTTTTGCAGTAACCGAGCTGACTCGACCCTCGGTCAATATTTTCTGAGCCACGGGCCTTAAACTTTTTAAGATGCTGTCAATCCTGCACATGGCTTGACTTTTAGTCTTTGTTGTCTAGCCTCGGCCGCACGGCTACCTTGCACGTGGGTTGAATCTGAGTCTTAAGATTTGGGTGAATAGATTCGTAGTCAAGGAAAATCAAGAAATAGATCGAATGTGCAAGTTGATTTTCAGAAACATTCGAAAAAGGGTTTCAGCCAAGAAACATGTTGCATTCAGAGTTCTCGATCGCAAGAAACATTGGATGGATTTATGGCAATCCTTCTGATATTAGAGTCTAACCAGGGTTTGCGTAATTGGGCACAAACACGATCCAAATATGTCAGCATTCGTTTCATCATTGGCCGAGACAAGGTAGGTGATGCGCCGCAATCCCATTTTGAGTAGAGCGACAATCGCTCTCATTGCAATTGGAGACAACCCGTAACACGGCCTATGGGGTCTCAACTTAATTCACAAGCCATGTCGGCGAATTTTGCAGCACGGTCTAAGTCTAGGCCAGGAGGCGTGTCTTCCAGACCCCGAGCAAGGTTTAACTTTTTACTTTTAAAGATCCGTCCTTTCTCGCAGAAAAATACAGGAAACAGATGGAAACAGCAAACAAATGCAAACAGTTGAAAGATGCTGAGAGAGCGAAAAGGGTAGCTTTTCTGCTCTGCGCAGAAAGGGCCGGCGGCGCTCGCTGGCAGGAAGGGAAAAAGGTAGACAAGCGCATGCGTTTACTAAGCAGCCAGTCGGCCGCACGTCGACAATGTCATGGCTGCACGAGTCAATTTGTCCATATCTGTCCAAAATCAAGTAATGGTTCGTGCGCCGCAGATTTGCTAGTTGAGAATTAGATAGAATTCGCACTAAAGGTGCCGGGCCGTTTATTGTGCGCATGCAATACTCGGAAGCAAATGCAGCAGCAGATGGAGGCTGGCGCCGGCGGATTCAGTCGGAAGAAAATGAATAGAAGTATATCATAGTATATCAACAATGCCATTCATCATCATTACTCACAAAGATGGACATGCCATGTCCAAAATATTCCAAAAATAATATGGTTCATATTTTCTGATTGAAATTGAGATCCGTCGTCAAAAAAGGGGGTCCACCCATTCGGGTACGCGCCTCGCATTTGACCCTACCCTAATGGTTTCGCATATGACCCTACCCCCCTTTTGGGGTAGGGTCGAATGTGAGAAAGTAGCGTTTTTAGCTGCGAAAAGAGGGTTCCGGATATGATGATGATCATGATGATGATGATGATGATTATGATGATGATGGTGATGATGGTGATGATGATGACGATGGACGATCATCATGATGATGATGATGGTGATGATGATCATGATGACAGTGATGATGGTGATGATGATGATGATGACGATGATGATGATGATGACGATGGACGATCATGATGATGGTGATGATGATGATGATCATGATGACGACGATGATGGTGATGATGATGATGATGATGGTGATTTGATACCAATGAATATAATTGTTCAAGGGGGGCTGGTTGATTTGATATCAATGACTGTAATTGTTCAAGGGGGGCTGGTTGATTTGGTAGCAACGAATGTAATTGTTCAAGGGGGGCTGGTTGATTTGATACCAATGAATGTATTGGTTCAAGGGGGGCTGGTTGATTTGATAGCAATGAATATAATGGTTCAAGGGGGGCTGGTTGATTTGATAGCAATGAATGTAATGGTTCAAGGGGGGCTGGTTGACTTGATACCAATGAATGTAGTTGTGCAAGGGGGGCTGGTTGATTTGATACCAATGAATGTAATGGTTCAAGGGGGGCTGGTTGATTTGATACCAATGAATGTAATTGTTCAAGGGGGGCTGGTTGATTTGATACCAATGAATGTATTGGTTCAAGGGGGGCTGGTTGATTTGATAGCAATGAATATAATGGTTCAAGGGGGGCTAGTTGATTTGATAGCAATGAATGTAATGGTTCAAGGGGGGCTGGTTGATTTGATACCGATGAATATAATTGTGCAAGGGGGGCTGGTTGATTTGATACCAATGAATGTAATTGTTCAAGGGGGCTGGTTGATTTGATACCAATGAATGTAATGGTTCAAGGGGAGCTGTTTGATTGGATGCCAATGAATGTAGTTGTGCAAGGGGGGCTGTCTGATTTGATACCAATGAATGTAATGGTTCAAGGGGGGCTGGTTGATTTGATAGCAATGAATGTAATGGTTCAAGGGGGGCTGGTTGATTTGATACCGATGAATATAATTGGTTCAAGGGGGGCTGGTTGATTTGATAGCAATGAATGTAATGGTTCAAGGGGGGCTGGTTGATTTGATACCAATGAATGTAATGGTTCAAGGGGGGCTGGTTGATTTGATACCAATGAATGTAATTGTTCAAGGGGGGCTGGTTGATTTGATACCAATGAATGTAATTGTTCAAGGGGGGCTGGTTGATTTGATAGCAATGAATGTAATTGTAGGGGGCTGGTTGATTTGATAGCAATGAATGTAATGGTTCAAGGGGGGCTGGTTGATTTGATACCAATGAATGTAATGGTTCAAGGGGGGCTGGTTGATTTGATACCAATGAATGTAATGGTTCAAGGGGGGCTGGTTGATTTGATACCAATGAATCTAATTGTGCCAGGGGGGCTGGTTGTTTTGATACCAATGAATATAATTGTTCAAGGGGGGCTGGTTGATTTGATAGCAATGAGTGTAATTGTTCAAGGGGGGCTGTTTGATTTGAGACCAATGAATGTAATGGTTCAAGGGGGGCTGGTTGATTTGATGCCAATGAGTGTAATTGTTCAAGGGGGGCTGGTTGATTTGAGACCAATGAATGTAATTGTTCAAGGGGGGCTGGTTGATTTGATAGCAATGAATGTAATTGTTCAAGGGGGGCTGGTTGATTTGATACCAATGAATGTAATGGTTCAAGGGGGCTGGTTGATTTGATACCAATGAATGTAGTTGTGCAAGGGGGGCTGGTTGATTTGATAGCAATGAATGTAATTTTTCTGGTTTGAGGCAGGTTAAAGTGGGGTAGGGTCAAATGTGAACCGGAAAAAGTGGCCTTTTTTCCTGGAAGGGTTGCATATTTTTGTTAGGGTAGGGTCGAATGTGAGGCTGCATGACGTTATTTTGGAGTAGGGTCGAATGTGAGGCTGCGGTAGGGTCGAATGTGAGGTCCGTACCCCCATTCGCCAGGGACCACTCAAAGACTATGAGTGTGAGGAACCTGCCATTTTCTTTGGAGGTTGCCTGGCTTACTCCTCCAGTCGAACACAGAAGATTGTGTCACTTTCCAGCGCAGAGTCAGAAACGTATGCAGCCGCCAGCGCAGTGATGGATGCAATCCTCATCAGAGCCATCATTTCATGGATGCTTCAGTCAACGATTCTCATGTGTTTGTACATTGACTCATCAGCCGCAGGTGGAATCTTATCAAGACGTGGAGTTGGTCGTTTGCGTCATCTTAGTTGTCGAGTCCTTCGGCTTCAAAACTTGGTTGGTGAGAAACTGTTGATGGTCAAAGCAATCTTAGGATCAATCAATCCATCTGACATAGCCACCAAGAGACTCAGCATCAGCAGGTTGGAATCACTGTTGTATTTGTTTGGTATCTGGGACAGTGCAAACAACAGCCTTGTGGGACAACATGGCCCAGGTCGAATTTTCAGAAATGCTCCTCAACCTCAGCAGAACAGCGCTTCCAGATATCAGATCAACATGTTGATTGGCGCCTTGAGCTTGCTTCTTCAGGGTTGCGGGTCAGACGTGCCAAGTGAAGCCATGGACAGCAGTTTTCTAGGATCAACTATGCAGGCAACCATCGTCACCAGCTGGATCACCTTGCTGACTTTGTACATGGTGTTTTTATGGATGCGCAATGATCAGCCGGTTCACAAAGAAGTTTTGGCCAGCAGTGATGGTGATGGTTTGACTTCTGTGGAGATGTCATGCGGCGAAACTGAGACAGATTTCAGTTGTGAAGGTCTTCCAGACTTTCCTGCTTTTAGCCCTGAAGCTTTGATTTCATGGTTGTTTGAAAGGTGCTACCGTCGACGTGAAGATTCAATCTCCAATGGAAACAGTTCCAGAGCACTTGCGTATACACAGCGCATGACGCTGTTGGTGGATCTGTTGGATCATGTTATGGGTTCTGATGACACCGCAAGACAGGAGGCAACAGACATGTTGAACACGGTGTCGGATCTTTCATCAGACGAGGCGAGCCCTACACGTGCAACAGATGAGCCTAGGGAGTCAAAGAAGAAAAGGCTCACCACAGCACATGCTGCCATGATTTCTTTGCAGGGAAGCATGACCATGGGTCTTGGAGGATGTTTTGGAGCTGACATGGATGAGACTGCTCAGAACAACAGTGGGGGCAGCCAGTTCTCATTCCTGGTCCTGACCTTGTGGACGTTGTTGCTTGCAGCATATACATGGTGGATGTTGCGCAGCCCATTTCTTCGTCCAGTGCCAATGCCACCTCCCATGCCAACTGAACTTGCAGTTGGGCCGGTGGTCACACATGATACCAACACGTTGGAAGGGCTGTTGACGTGGACATATGCCCGTGTATTGGGCAGGCTTGCAAGGGCAACTCGAGACAACAATTTGGGAAGGATCAGAAAGTATACCCAGTCACGGGAATGGCTTCAAAGACGTTTTGCAGAGCTTCGAAATGCCAGTCCAACTGACCGTGAGCGCATGCAGGCTTCTCTCACGGGTGACAACGAGTTAGACGAGGAAAATGGTTTTCCAAGCTATGGCTATGGGGTGGTGGCGGTGGAACGTGAATTGTTAGCTGCAACCCATGGACAGATTTTTCAATTGGTGGTGAAGCTGCTTGAGCTCGAGAGATCCGAGAGCGTGGTGGAATTGGTTCGTGGGATTGGAAATTCGCTGAGGACGCCACCTAGTCCTGAGACTTCCTCAGGCGAAGCCATGATGGAGACCCATGAAGAAAGAGTGCAGAGGTATCGAGATTCAGAACAGTGTGAAGTGTCAGACCCAGACTTCTGGGCCACAGTCCAATATGGACCAGCAGAAGATGGAGAGGAAGAAGACGATGAAGATGATGCCATGGACGTGAGCAGAGACGGTTTGATGGAATTCTGA